TTTCATACCACAGGGTCTTTTGTGGAAATCTAGAAATAAAATAATTCAATATAAAAAGTTATTGTAATCAGGGCTCTATGGAGGCGCTATGTGTCCTGCAGCCGCTCTTCACTTGCCACAGGTCACTTAAAGGTTTCACAGGCAACAGGCCAAGAAAACAACCCATTCCACACAGGCAGGCTCTGAGTGGGCACTGCACTAGTAAAAAATAAATAGAACAGATGTCTGTATGTTCTTGTTGCTTCCATCTTCAATATGTTTTTGAATTCATGTGGACACTTGACAGTATTTGTGAAGGAACTTGTGTTCTATCAACTCAGATCAGTTTTATGTCTGATCTCCCAGTCTTCTGCTGAAATGCAGCATTTTCTGGTGTAGGAGTGTGTTGACATGTCCCAACTGCTGTCTCCTAGTCTTCAGATGGTTCAGCAGAGTGTTCATACACACCAGCAGAACACCGTCACTCCTCTGACAGTCCTCCGTTACCAATATATCTTCCCTCCATGCTTCCTGTAACGTCTCAAACAAGGCCCGTTTGTCCCGGTGGAACTGGTGAACCTCCTGCCAGTGTCTGTCTTTGTTCCCCCTGACTCTGTTCACCTCCTCCGTCATGTGTCTGATGCAGAGATGCAGCCTGCTGTTCTCCACTCTGACCTGCTCCAGTTTCACACTGGTGTCATAGATGCTCAGTTCCACAGCCCTCAGCTCTGAGGCCTGTCTGGAGAGCCCATCCATGTGATGTGCTCGCGTTTCCTCCAGCTCCACCTTCATCTCCTCTTTGGGCTGAAGCAGAAAGATGGTTTTCTCCTTCAGCCCCTGAATGGACAGCTCCAGCTCAGCCCTCCTCTGCCTCAGCTCGGAGGTCAGCGTTTTAAGCCTCTGGTTGCGGCTTTGCTCCTCATTCCACCTGGCCTCCACCTCCTTCAGCATCTCCTCTTTCTCCTCCACCAACCTCTGCTTCTCCTCGTTGCTCCTCGTGATGCCCTCAGTCTCTGCGGTGCACTGCTCAATCTCCTGATGGAGTTGAATCTCCACTTGTCTGTATTCTGCTGCACACTGGGCCACGTGGTTCATTAGCAGGTCGGCATCTGTGCTCTTGGGCTGGCGCTGCTGGAGCGCTGCCTCCTCTTGCTGCAGCTCCTCATAGCGCCTCCTTGCGCTGGTGATGCCAGAGGTTATTTTCGCCATGTGTTCCTCCTGCGCCCTTCTCGCCTCCTCCAGAAGTCTCCTCAGCCTGTTCCTCTCCTCCTCGAGATGGCGGATGTTCGTCTTCTCCGTATCCACGTTGGCACACAGCTCCTCCTGATTCCTCTCGAACACACGCTTGTTGATGGTGTCAGCCTCCAGAAGTTCTCTGATGTGCTTGTCCATCTCTCTGATCTCCTTGTTGTGTTTCACCACGGAGGCAATGCGTTCCTCTAGCTGCAGCCTGGACCGCTCCAGCTGCTGTGATGCACGGGAATGATCTGCCCTCACTTTGCTCTCTTCCCCATGCTGCCGCTTGAATATCTCATGGATATGAGCCAGGTGGTCCTGACAGAGACACCTTGATGCTTGACCCTCCTCTATTTTGCTCTCCGCTGCAGTGATTCTCTCTTTTAGATTCTTAATGGTAAGGCTGAACGCTTCTCCTAAATCACACAACTCCTTCTTCAGCGTTTCTCTCTGTTGCCTCAGGTCTTGACGCCTTTGAGTCTCACCTTCAAGCTCTTTCTCAAACTGGCACCGAGATACTGTCAGTCTCTGTAGGTTGCCCTCTATCTTGGCCGAATCAGCGGAGAGCTCTTCCAGGCGGCCATGGCTCTCTTGTTTCTTGCTGTTTACTCTCCCCAGCTCTCTTCTTCTCCTCCTGATCACTTGTTTCTGCTGCTTGACTTTCTCGTCCATCTGATTCCTGTCCCCGGACAAGTTGCGTTCCCTCACAGTGAAAGCTTCTCTCGCCAGCTCCATGTTTTGCTCCAGTGATATTTTGTCTTGTTTGACAGCAGCGATGCAGATCTTCAGCTCCTCTCTCCGCCCCAGTGTTTGGTCGAGTTGCATTTGCAAGCTGTATTTTCGGGATATCTGATCATTCAGAACAGCCACGACCTCTTCGTGCTCGGCCTTCTCTCGTATCCTGTGAGGACGCAATGCTTCATTTTGGCTCAGGAGTTCTCCCTGTCTCTTCTCAGCAGCTTCTCGCAGCAGGGACACCGTGCTCAGCTCTTTGTGCAGCAGCTCCATCTCCTCAGCATTGGATGCTCGGGCTGCTGCCACGTCGGCCATGATTTCCTGGCTCATTCGATCACGTATGTTGTCTATCTGGTGTCGCAGCTTGCTGTTTTCTATGGTTTCCACCTCTAAATGTTCGTGGGCTGCACGTCGGTCTGACTCCAGGTCGGTGACGGCAGCGGTCAGCTCTGCCAGGTGGAGGCTGGCCTCTGGTGCGAACGGCACTCCCTCCTCTTTCAGCGCGTTGTCCAGCTCCTTTAGATGTTCGAGGGCGACCATGACGGCGGGGAGGTCCGGCACCAAGCAGGACGCCATTGTTCCTAAAGCTAGTGTTTATTCCAGGTCTGTGTTTGTCTTCCGGCTGAAGAAGTCATCTTCAAAGTTCAGTTTCCGCTACGCAACTTGTGAGTGCGGTCGCCACGGCAACCGCTGCCTCGGCACGGCGTAGAAGAAGAAAGCAGCTACGGCGAGTCCACGCGGACATGTTGTTGTTAGCTGTGGCTAACCGCGTGAGCTAACCGTGAAACGGAGGTACTAGCAAGAAACTCAAACCGAAGTGTGGGAAACAGACCAGACTGTGTGACCTCTGAGTGTGACGAGGAATCGAACACAGTCCGACAACAGAGCGTTTCCCCGTCAAACGTCCTGATAAACCTCGCGTTATTCGATTGCTGTTCGATTGATTAAAACCATGTTCATGATAATGGAGCTTACCTTTAAAGCGCAGCAATGGCCGTGCAGAGGTTTAGGCAGCAGCAGCACTTCCCCAGCAGTGAGGTCTGGAGGCAGGAGACTCTGTGGTTAGTCACACCAGCGCTGTTGCCAGGTTTGACGATTTCACGCAGTGGAGTCGAAAAGGTGGATTCCAGATGTTTGTGGATGTTGGTTGGTTTTATATTTTGTATTGATCCTCAGTTAGAGCCATGGAATGAGTGAACCACACCATAATAACGATGTTTGCACGTCAAGGTAAATCCTTAATGACACGAGATGAAGCTTGAGTAGATTTAGATTCTCTCATTTGGATACGTGTGGATATATGTGGCACACATTTAAAACACTGCATAGAGACAACCGGCGTGATTCTCTTATACGGAAACCAGTGGTGTTGTGAAAAGATGTGATGCCTGTCTATTCGATGTGTTACAGTTAGGGTGATAGGAGAGGCCGAAACAGACGAAGAAGAACCCGAGTTCCTCTCGTGATGAGAACAAGTACTTCAGAGTATTTTAATATTATAATCAGGGGCTGTAAAAATGACCAACAACCATGGAAATGCATTGTTCAGGCCCATGTCTTGGCTACTTCAAAAAAGTTTAGAAAATAAAAACTCAGCAATTTCCATAATTGTTAAATTTTAATCTGCGGTGCATTGAAAACAATATATACACACTCCTTTTCAAATACTCAATACCTAAAATATTATTAATAACGATATGCCACAATTATCACAGTCATTTGCTCATCTGTAAAAAGACAAGCGACTATAGGGACAGGACAGGAGCTCATGTTTTACTGTTGACCCTCTGGTCTGAAGTTATGTGATGCTGTTTTTGTCTTCCTGCCTCAATTAACCACGTTTAATTTACCCACGTTAGCACTGCCTGTATTAGGATAATAAAGACATTTCCTCTCTCAGTGATTTGCCTCAGTAATAAAGGCAGTTGTCAGCTGCATAGTGTTAATGAATGTTACAGTGCTTCATGAAAAATAGATGTAATCTGAATACACAATTGTGGAACACAGATATATGACCAACGTCTTTGTTATATAGGTAACAAGACGTGAACATGTTTTTTTTTCAACAAACAAAGTGGCGATGACACAGTGTCTGTTAGTCTGATTCCCTGTCAGCATCATCGTTTACTATTCACTACATCACTAGTGACTTTTCATTGTTGGGTGCAAAGAACCTGTTCCTCTCACCCTTAGTTTTTGTGATTAGTTGATAGTTGATTGTCACGTATATCCTGTGCAAATAAGAAAATCACACACATATAACTCTCATATTATAGTTCAGTTATAATAAAGAGTGGATATACACAGATATACAGCAAGAGAAGAGAGAGAGAGTCTGCAAACTCAAAGGCCAGAGGCCTGCTATTGTCAGCTGTATTTGTTCTTTCAGTATTTGTTTTACAATACAGTTTTGTGTTTTTCCAGACACTATCTAGTTCAATCTATAGACAGCAGCAGTGAATCCATTGTAACCACAAACATCAGACTGCACAGCAGTATCATTGGCTCCAGCACTTCTAGACCTTTTTGCATTGACTATGCATTGAGCATACATTTTTGCCTTAAAAAAAGGAGTTA